AATCAGAACAAAGCTAACTGAAGGGGATTTATCAAAGCTGGAGCACAGAAAGTCTGGAGCAGTTGCTCATGCCAGCAAATCAACTTCTATCTTCAATTTTCAAAGCTTAACTGAACAAACTGAAGCGAGAAGATGATGATTACAGCTGGTTACAATGGGCAACTGCTCCAGATTCAATAAATTCCCCCCAATGAGTGCTGTAGAAACACCAACTTCTTGTATAAGCTGTATAAAGTACATTTTCTGGCTCTGCTGTTACTGCAGACATGCTTGTAGATACACAGTATACTTTATTTGATGCTTTGTGCAATAACAGACTCTTTTGAGGAAAGGATTTGCTATTTGGATCATATATGTTATGCACATGCATTAACTGCAATTTATCTTGTATTGTTTACTTGCATTGCGATCATGTCTAACCACTGTACCTATCTTATTCTTTTCCAAAAAAAAATAATGGTGAAAAAAAAAAGAAAGAACTCCCATGCACAAGCATGGGAGTTGACACACCCAAAAAAGATAGCTGAATGCACAAGACCAAGTAAAGGTGGAAGCGCAAAACAAGGGGGCTTGCATCACTGGCAGGGACGTATAGAGAAGTATAGAGGAGTTTACTTATGCTTTAGGATGAACCCAAGCATTTAAAACAAAAATATTCTACAAAAGCTGATATTAAAAGGAGAATTATGGGGTGAGTGAAAAACACTCATCCCCATAATTCAAGCCAACCTGTGATACTGAAGCTGTCACAGATCGGCTTTATTGATCAGGAAGTCAGCAAACACATACCGCCAATCACGGACTTCACGATTCTCTCCCTCCCTGCAGAGAGCGGTGACTGTCAGTCATCGCTTCCCGCAGAGATTTCCCCCCTCCCCTTTTCGTCTCTCCAGTGCTGACTGGAGGAACGGACGGGGAGGGGGTGGGCTACGCCTCTATTATAGTGTGTTGGTATCATGTGTACAATAGGCAAACAATTATTTTCAATTCCATCATTAACTGCATAAAAAAAAATCAAAATGAAAAACTTATTGTAAAGAACTGGACTTAGGGTGATTTATCAAATCTGGAGCCGACTGAATCTGGAGTAGTTGCCCATAGCAACCAATCAGCTTCTCTTTTTCATATTCAAAGCTTAAAGTGACATTAAAGGCTAAAACATTTTTGCTCTCCCCACAATGCTAATGTAAGGACTTACCTTAAATGATGCCCCTTAATCCAATCATCTTCCTCTTTCCAGAAGTTTTCAGGAGTCCCTCAAGCGCTGGTGCCGGTCTCCAATCCAGCGCTGACTCCTCTGCCTTAACTGGCACTTCCTGTCCCACGGAGTATGTGCAGGTGCACAATGCTGGATTTACTTACCTTGTGTCTCTCCTCATCTCCCGGCCGAAGATCTGAACTGCGCATGCACCTGCCCCAAGCTCCTTTGCGGCCGCCTGAGAATTTTCAGATGTTCGGACGGGAGCGTGCGACGGAGACACAGGTAAGTTTTAACCCTTTGAAAAAGTTTTTTTTCCAAATCGTTTTGCATATATCTACTGCTTGTTATTAACCCTTTAACTGAACAAACAGAAAAGATAAGCTGATTGGTTACCATGGGCAACTGTTCCAGATTCTGACTGCTCCAGTTGTCATAAATGCCCCCCTTAAGAATTATCCATATGTACCTGGCAAAAGTCAGAGCTCATGATCACTCCCTGTACCCAAAAATCCATCGACAGTGCTTCCCTATTAACTGCTCATCTAGCGGGGTCACTAGGCAAGCACCTTCAGAAACCTACTCTTAGGGGGATATATTAGTTTTAAATGATAGGTGCTGTGTCAGGTTTACTTTAAATGTTATCCAGGATACATACCAACCCATTACTTTGTATTTATTGTTATGAAAATAAAATTAATTACAATAATGTCCTGGTATACGGCAACTGAGCTCCTAGATGGCTTTAAATGTCCTTGTATTTCAAAGACAAGTTCAAGTTAAAAACAGTACCAGTTCACTTTTGGATTACAGGTATGCTTCTATAAATAACTTTAAATATAAGTGTGCATTTCTTTGGTGTACAGTTTTACTTTAATTCATCTTGTAGGAGTACCGAAAGGGAAATGTGTGAAATGAAATGAAGCTGGTAATCATTCTGTAGCACTTTTTATCTCATATTAGGTGTATTTTACATTTCATTGCAGATGGAGTGTTTTTTTATTTTTAGATGCATATTTTTCGCTATATAGCATCTAGAGATTTATGAAAATGAATATAAATTGTGCTGTGCTGCTATGTGCACATTTTGCTTCCGACCAAAGAAATGAATAGATTAAATTCTAATGGTACTTGGCTGTTATAGTATTTCAGTAACCGCACACAATATTTTATAGTATGCTTAAGGCATGGAGTTTCATTGGCACCTTATACAGATTATAGAGAGTGATCCGCAATTAAAGGAGAACCTAATGCCAGCTTCGCTCTCCACAAACCACAGCCCGGTAACAACAAAAAGTCCCTCGGTACTCTTCAAAATGGCAGTCTATTAGGGTATACCATTCCAATTCGAAAAGCTCCACTTGAATTGAAGACCCATGGCTACGATACTGTTCTTTTCTTACAAGTTACCATTATAGTTATGTTTAATCTCTTTTTTTATTAAATGTTTGAAGGTGACACAAAAACACTATATATAAAGAACTGCAAATGTATGTGTACATATGTCATTAAATCACAGAAGTTATGCATTGTCAATAGTTATCATCCATATAAAATAAAAATCCATTTCGGCATTGTGAGAGAATAATGCATGTACAGAATAGTCTATATTATCTCATTAAGGAAAATACTAATGGAAAACAAGCAAAGTGTGGTGATTATTTGATGGCTTGCCATGAAAGAAAAGTCTCTGAATATTTTTTAACTACCTAAGCATTATGATATTGCTCAAAAGCATTTTCTGGAACCTTGTATAGTACCTTGCGAAAAAACATTCACCCCCTTGCAACTGTGTATACATTAGTTTTTTTCTCTGAATTATTGTTTGAATCACAATAGAAGTTATTTTGCACATACAAAGTGTTAAACAGGTTGTGTACATCACATTGCCTCCCCCCCCAAACACGTCTAATGTAAATTCAGGTTGCAATGTAATAAAACAGGAAAAACACCATGTGGGTGAATACTTTCACAGGGTGCTGTATATGGAGTATTATGTTAGCCATTGATTAGTGTGGAAAGTTTGGAGTCTAAGTAATGCCATTTATTGGCTAACTTATTAAAGATGCAAGCTTCTCCTTGTAACTGGATATAAATATGAGTGACAGGAAACAATACCGGCGCCTCCACGTGCAATATCGGCCAGTTGCCTGAGGTTCTGAGGAAGGGGGAGTGCCCCAGAAACATGTAAACCGAGACCACATAGGGGCAGTGGACGCTGATGCTGCACATCTTTTCAGACTTCCGCTGCTAGATGATTTGACATGCCATTGTTTACTACATGCCTGTTTACTACCGACTTTTTGTAAGTACAATACAGTTGTGCGTTTTTATCATTAAAATTCGTTTTACACTATGCAGGCGCTCCTTTTTGTCTTTTGTCTCTTGGATATAAATATGTGGGTTTCAGAACCGTTTACAGAAATGTACAAAGTCTGATGAAGGAATCTAGAGAATCCCGAAGGCTTGCATCTTCAATAACTTAAAGGAGAACTATGGGATGAGTAAAATGCACTCATCTCTAGTTCGAGTGCAGGGGTGACACTGAAGCGGTCACACGTCAGCTCTATTGATTAAGAACCAAGCAATCATATACCCCTGCTCGTTCAGTTCATGATCTTCTCCCTGCAGAGAGCTGTGATTGTCAGTCACCGTTCCCAGCAGGGATACCCCCCTTCCCTCTCCAATTCTCCAGCGCTGCTTGGAGGGACAGACAGGGGAGGGGACGGGCACAGCTGGCTCTACCTCTGGAGAGACAGAGCCAGCTGTCAATCAGTCAGCAGGGTGGATCTGTCGGGATCTTTCCCAGCTGCAGGGCGGCTCTGCGCTGTAAGCATATAGTGGGCAATAGCTATATGCAGAGTTTTAGGTCACAGGAAGACATTAAAAAATGTCCTCCTTAAACCCTAATGAGAATTACGGCTAAAATAGGTTTGGCCATAGTTCTCTTTTAAAAAGTGACACTAAACTCAGGAGTTAAATCTCAAAAATACATTTATACATTAATACAAAGTACCTTAACTATTAACAAAAATGTGGCGTGTTTGTGTATCACTCAGCTGTAGATCCTCAAATCTTGTCTAAATTGGTGCTGTCGCTGTCCTTCCTTCTGGAGGGTGGCCACTTTTGTTCCCCATGGTCCTGTGTGTGTGTTCTAAAGTAGCCACTGCTCCAAGGTTGCTCCTATGATGGACTACAGTCTCACATTTAGTTTACTAATTTGTATTGAGGGTCTATCACAGGAGCAAACTTGGAGGAGTAGGTACTTTACAACACACACATGGACCATGAGGAAAGTAGCCACCCTCAAGAGGGAAGGACAGTGTTAGCACAAATTCAGAGATGATTTGAGGATCTACAGCCGAGAGATACAAAAATAGGCTACATTTCTGTTAAAGGTTAAGCTGCTTGAATGCAATTTAAAATTATTACAGTTAAACTGGGTTTATGTCTAGGAAAAATTTAACTGATCTACAGGATTTTCACTTCTCCTTCCCAATGTAGAAAACTACCAGTGGCAGGCACCCAGCTCTGAGAACTTATATTCCCCACAAGCCAGCTTTGTAAGTACCAGCAAATATGAAAAGGAGTACATCTAGGCACACAAAAGTGCCTATATTCACCCAGGTATATAAACCGATCCCTTAGCAGTTGCAAAACATAATCTATAACTGTGCACATAATACAGAAGACAACAGATTCAAGTTTCAATAGAAACTTTGCGCAATGTTCTTTTCAAGGTAGTTGGAGCAACAACAACAGATTTGCCAATTTGATATCATGAAGAGACACTTTTTCCTACCTTGTTGAAGTCTTCAGAAGTTGCCCTCATTTCTTTCCAAGTTTTGTTCAACAGCTGGATGCAGATACAAAAGAATTCCTCAAATGCTCGATCGTGTGTGAAGAACATAGGGTGAAAATCATTGCAGGTTTCACTTGCTACATAAAAAAAAGAAAAAGCACAAATATAAGACTTACATCTTCCCACAGCACATCATCCGTATTAAAAATATCACATTTATACAAAGAACAATGTTTCATGTATTAGGAAATGTATTCACAAACAATATGTGGCCAGTGACAAAATCCAAATAGCATAATTTCCTATCTCTCCTAGGTCCCAGACATCAGAGTCCTTCTAAAAAAGCTTATCTAGCTTTAGGCACATGAAGGAAAAGGGGAAAATGGCATTTGCAGAAAATCTCAGAGCTAAGTAGCCCATCTGACATTATGGTTGCTAAATGTGATGCTTACTTTGAAATGTTAGCAACAGCAGCACCTTTTAGTGCTTTCAAAGAAGAGAAAAAAAACTCTTCAGGCATAAAGGCTCTTTTAGGGGCTAGACTTTTCACAGCTTAGATTTAAAGCTGAACTCTGGGCATGAAAACTTCAATTCAAATATATTCCTTAACAGCAGGGGTGGGTAATTAATTTTCTCAAGGGACTACATGAGAAACTGGGACTAATTTGGAGGGCCAACACGTTACCGTGAAGGTGCATAGGCACACATGCACATACGTAAATTGATAAAAAATCTGATAGGGGGCAACTAATGCAGGGGGCACTCCGCCGGATGCACCTAATAATTAGTTGTTCCCATCAGAGTGCCCCCTGCTTTCACAATTAATGTAAGAGGGCACTCTGATGGGGGGAGCTAATGTAAGGGGGCACTGCAACGAGGACAACTAATAATTAGTTGTCCATATCAGAATGTCCCCTTAAATTGATTGTCCCCATCAGAGTGCCCCCTCATTTTTGTAGTTAATGTAAGGTGGCTACTTACATTGTTTGTCTATTTTAGAGTGCCACTTTATATTACTGTCCCCACATACCTTTTTTTACTACTTTATTAGTAAGCCAGATGCGGGAGCAGGTAGGTGGAGCAGACTGCAGGAAAGGAAGGGGAACACATTTGATGTCACTGGTTGCTAGGACTGCCTGATGGCCCTTACAACCAATGACTGCAAAGAAGGTGGACGCCTGATGTCATTGGTTGTCAATGGTCCTAGCAACCAATGACTGAAGAGGAGTAGGCCTGCACTGGGTTATGGTTTGCAGTGGATGCACCGGCCTTGGAGGCCACCAAGGCCCTGTTATGCAAACAGAACCAACTAGTGAGCCAAAGAGAATATTGTTTATTGATTTTGCATTGCTAATAAATCTGTATTTTATAGCGGGTTTTATTATTGCCAATAGCTTTTATGACTATCATGTTCCCTTTTTTTTTTTAAGAGAAGATTTTGTGGTTAAGTTGATTTGAAAAGGTAAAAAATATATCTTTGTTTCTAAAGAGGTTTGTTATAATTTGTATATTTATATATGAGTTGAAACTTTGTAATATTGATTGGACCAATATAGAACTTCATATTTTCTATACTATTTTCTTGTCTGTTTTGTAGACTTGACAAAGTTTATTTGGCACCTAAAAGCATTGGATGTTTTATGTTACCCTTTTGTGAACCAATATCATTGATAAAAGATTTTAGACTCTTGGACCATTTGTTTAGTGCTCTCATTATATGTGGATTCTCAATTCTGGGTTCTTTCTAAGTAGGGATGCACCGATACCGATACAAGCATCAGTATCAGCGGCGATACCGAGTATTTGCATGAGTACTCGTACTCGTGCAAATACTCCAATACATAAAACGAGTACCTGTGCCGCGTCCGCCATCTTCAGGGACCCAAATCCGCCGCACACAGGACCTCCATTGCGTCTTCAATGAAGCAAGATGGCCGCGACCTCCTCTGTCATCTGCTCCATTCTGACCTCTTCTCCCGTATTTCTGTGTTTTATGAGTGAATGGGTTGTTGCAATAACCAATTTTAGATGTTGAACTGGTGTTGGTGTTAACTGGTGCATTTAGTATGTCCAATGACATTTTAAATAATAAATGTATAATATTTTGTATCATATTTTGACTCTCTGACCCTCCTTACTAGCTGTACTTTGAGCTAATCCCCCTCACATCATCTCACTTCTTTTTATTGGGAAAATAGATGATCACATGTCCAGACCCCAGACTGCAGAACAGTGTATCCTTGTATAGTGTGGCACAGCTGTATCCAATTCTGCATACCTGGCTTTATATTATAAAGTTCTTATAATATAAAGCCAGGTATGCAGAATTGGATATAGCTGTGCCACACTACAGAGTGTTCATGTTCTTCATAATATTAAGAAACTGACCTAAAATCATGATTTT